TATCATACCTTCCGGTTTGTACGAGTTCGAAACTATGCCTTTTGGTCTGGTTAATGCACCGGCAACCTTCCAACGGTTTATGAACACGGTTTTGAAGGGCTTAGCATCCAAAAGGTACCTCATCTATTTGGATGGTATCATAGTCCATGGCAGGTCTATAGAGGAGCACAACAAAAGACTGGAAGAAGTGTTCCATAGGTTGAGAAGAGCAGGATTACGGTTGAAGTCCTCAAAATGCCACTTTGTCGTGAGGTCAAATTCTTGGATCACATAACCACTCCGGATGGAATCAAAACGGACCCCACTAAGTGTGACCATATCAAAGCTTGGCCTCGTCCTACCTCGGCAGAACAGTTGAGAGCTTTCTCGGGGCTAGCTTCCTACTACCGGAGATTCATTAAAGATTTCGTCTCAATTGCAGCCCCTTTGCATCGACTCACCACCAAGGGTCGTACTTTTGTTTGGTCAGCGGAGTGTGATCGTGCTTTTGCACAATTAAAGGTCAGGTTGATCTCCCCTCCCATACTAGCACTTCCTGATGTCTCCCGCAATGGACGCACTTTTGTACTGGACACAGATGCTAGTGAGAACGCCATTGGAGCAGTTTTATCCCAAGAGTCTCCAGGGGGTGAAGTTGGCATCGCTTACTCAAGTCGCGCGCTGGATTCGTCAGAGCGCAAGTATAGTACCACCAGGAAGGAACTGCTATCTCTAGTATATCTTATCAACTACTTTCGAGCATACCTTCTGGGCCAGCCAATTAAAGTTAGGACGGATCATCACTCACTACAGTGGCTGAAGAACTTCAAAAACCCCGAGGGTCAGGTTGCGAGGTGACAGGAAAAGCTGCAGGAATATGAATTCACTTGTGAGCACCGACCTGGATTGCGCCACTCCAACGCCGACGCATTATCTCGCATTCCGTACGAGGTAAATGTAGCTCTTTTGACAACCGAGGAGGCGGAATGGGGTGCTGATTAAGCTAATGACCCGAATATCGCCCGCATCTACAGTTCACAAAAAGGAAAGGGGCGAAAGCCGACTGGTCTCGAAATGAAAGTTGCTTCAGAAGAAGAGAAGGCACTGTGGGGCCTATGGAACGACTTAAAACTCGTTAATGGGGTTCTATACATACAAAATAAATGCAGATTCGAAGTCGGTCGTACCCAAGACAAGAACATTGGGCTTAGTACAACGTATCCACCACCAAATTGGTCATGGGGGGCGGCTGAAGACTGAAGCCATTCTTCGTCATCGCTATTGGTGGCCCGGATTACATACGGATGTCGGTAATGTGTGTAATCTATGCCAAACCTACGCGAGGATAAAATACCACGTTCCAGCACCCAGGGCACCCCTGAAACCCATGATTGCTGTGCACCCGGGTAAACGAGTCGGGATTGATATCATGGGCCCTCTACCGATGACCCGTGAGGGGAACCGATATATCCTGGTTATGATCGACAACTTCACGAAGTGGGCTGAAGCTGTCGCCATTCGATTCCAGGACGCGTCAACGGTCGCGAAGGCGTTTGTCTATGAATGGGTGAGTCGATTTGGTGCCCCGCAAATCCTCCACTCTGACCAAGGCGCCGCGTTCGAAAGTCAGCTGCTGCGGGAAGTGTCTCGTTTGCTTAGTGTNGTGTAAAAAGAACTCGAACGACCCCGTATCATCCTCAAGGTAACGGGCTAATGGAACGCACCAATCGGAACATAAAAGGCATACTTCAAGGTTTATGTGAAACCCTTGATGTAGATCGCTGGGACGAAACACTCCCGCTGTGCATGCTTGCCTATTGTGCTTCACACCATGGTACCACTGGATACAGTCCAGCATTTCTGACGTTCGGACGTGAGTTACGTCTACCCGTGGAGATAGCAGTGCCATCGTTGCCAAACCCTGTTGAGCACACGCTTGCCTATACCCGAGATCTTACAGAACGCCTTCAGCAAGCCTTCCAGCACGTTCGGGAACACGCCGGCCGATTGCAGGCGCAACAGAAACGCGTTTACGATCGTGAAATTCACGGGAANACGTGGGAGACCGTGTATGGCTACATCGACCAAGGCCGCCGCAGTGCACTTCAACCAAGTTCCATCCACCGTGGCAAGGTCCCTACGAAGTCGTTTTTCAGCGTTCTCCGACTGTCTACACCATCCTCAAAATCGGCTCCCGAAATAACGAAACAATAACAGTACATTTCAATCATTTGAAACCCCTCTCGCTGCCGAGAGACGTCTCAGAAGCCGAAATGGAATCTGTACCGCCGGGGGCGCTTTCAGTTGTGTAACAAACAGTCAAAGTCGGGCCCGACGGTGGTGAGGCGGTTGTTACGAGCACTGAGGTCAGTGCGGTCCAAGAAGGAGGGTAGTGTAATGCAATCGAAAGTGCATTGGGCAATATACATTACCTAAAACCGAGTTCCCTTTCTCTCCTCCTCTTTCAGGCTTCGCCCGGTGCCCCAGCAACCCAGGAAAGTTCCGTAAACGATGACTGACATTCACCCCTTGTTTAAAGTTACTTGTTCGATGTTATTGATTTTGTATCGATTTTATCGGCCTGTTACTAATCTCTCAATCAATACAGTTTTTCGTTCGCTCCCAGGCGTTGCGCGTTCTGTTTTCGCATCGTTGGTGATAGCCGCGTGTTGCTCAGGGTCCGTGTTGTGACTAATCGACTTTGCCCGTTGCATTACAGAAAAACCGTTAGGAAAGAGTGACCATGGGGTTCTGCGGCTAAAGTTTGTTGCGAGACATGATAAGCCGAATGCTAAGCTGGTAAGAAACTTCGCCAGGATCAACGAAGAGCAACTAAAGGTAGCTGCTGAGAGCATAAGGTGGTTTCCTGTTTCACTTGCACCATAAGTCGAGGAACGATGGGTGGTAATACGGACGGGTTGCTACGGCTAACGCAAGAGTTTGCTCCCTTGGTGCCTCGCAGATCCAGAAGCAGATCGCCTTGGTGGTCGCCTATAATAGAAAGAGCGCTCACATATCGTAGAAGGTGCTGGGCTTTCTACAAGCTTCACGGAACGCATAGTTCTTGGGTCAACTACAAGCTGGCCAGAAATAAAGCACAGACAATGCAGAGGGAAGCTAAGTGCGAGTACGAAAAGAAACTAACTAGAGACATCAAAACAAACCAGAAGAGGTTTTTTGCCCATGTACAGTCCAAGGAAACCACACGCGAAAGTGTTGGAACCTTGGAGATGGCTAACGGTAACATAGCTAGTACAGACAAGGACCGGGCTGAGACACTGATGGACTACTTCAAAAGTGTCTATCGTTCATCCCAGAATGATGGAGATCGGAACGGTTGGTGGATACCATTGAAAACGA